CTGCCGCTGAGCTGCCAACAGGTGGCAGGATGGCTCAGCTAAAAAAAAAAAAAAACAGTTTTGTCCTACTCATTCTTCTTACTAGTTTTAACACCCTAGTCCATGTACCTGGAGCCTCCCTGAGGCACCCAGAGTAATAGAGATCAAGCCTTGTAAAAGAATATGGTATCAGGGCAGCCGGGTGGCTCAGTTGGTTAGAGTGCATGCTCTGAACAACAAGGTTCCTGGTTTGATTCTCACATGGGTTGATGGGATGTGCCCCCTGCAGCTAGCTTGAAAATAGCAACTAGATTGAAGACAATGACTTGGGCTGAGCTGCCACTGAGCTGCCGGTGGGCTGCTGGATGACTCAGTTGGTTAGAGCGTGTGCTCTGAACAGCAAGGTTGCCAATTCGATTCCCGCATGGGATGATGGGCTGTGCCCCCTGCAACTAGTTTGAAAATGGCAACTGGACTTGGTTGGAGCTGAGCTGTGCCCTCCACAACTAGAATGAAGGACAATGACTTGACTTGGAGCTGATGGGTCCTGAAAACACACACACACACACACACACACACACACACACACACACAGAGTTACCCGATAAAATTTTTAAAAATAACAAAGGGAATATGGTGTCATCTTCCCTCACTTAGCCTGGTGTGGCTCTTCACAGGCTGCCCCACCCAAACACAAGCTGCCTCATCCTTATTGATGCCCAAGACATCCCAGTTGGCCTTGCCAGTCGTCTTCAAATACTTAGGTGTTAGGTGCCTTCTCACCTCTCTTAGCTGTCTTGGGCCATTGACTGGAGCGGGGTGGAGAGGACTGACTCAACAGAGTAAGAATCTGGACCTGCACATAAAGGGAACTGCAGTGACATCAAGATAATGCACAGTTGTTTCTGCCTGTGCTACTTTCTTAAGTTTTTCTTTATTATCCATGTAGCGTAGCTGTCTTCGGCTTTGTGTTAGACACCTTTGCCTCATCGACACATTGTCCCCTTCCAGAATCTCCTGTATCAGTTTTCTTCTCTGCCTAGTATAAATTATTAACTTCATGAGCCAACTCCAACATTTTGCCCCTTTCCAGGCCATGGCTCTGCCTGGATGGCCTCCAAATGTCTCAGACTTAATATGCACCCCACATATGCTTCGGGTCCAGTTGTGATGTTGTGAACTGTCAGTCCTTGCTTGGCCTCTTGATTTTATTCTTGTAGTCCACCCTCTTCTTCCAATGTACACACACAGACACACACACACGATCACCAGATTTGATTGAGGTTATCATATCTGTCCTGCTCTCTCCTCAGCCAGGGTGTTCCCCCTCGTTCAGGCCTCCTCTCTTTTGGGACAGTTGTCACGGATGATCTTGTCTGGCCTTGTCCTCATACCCTAGCTCTCCCAGTTGTAGTTGGCCTCCATGATGCTACCAAGGTCTCTGGGTTAAATCCTCTCAGGCCCTTACTTCAGAGCCACAGCTGGCTCTCATGCTTGTTCAGACTCCACAGCATGGCCTTGTATGCAGGTTGTTCCCAGCACTCCTCACACAACTTATCCTGGGACTAGAAGCATTCTAGCACCAACCTTCAAAGAGCCTACACTCTCACGTTTCTCTTTAGCCTCTGACTGTGCTGTTTCCTCACCTACCCACTCACCTCTGACAAACTCCAGCTCTTCCCGGCCCAGATGTGGTCATCTCTTGGGAAGCTCTTTGTTCGCTCAACCTACCTCCAAGCCTAGTGAGTGCTGTGTGCTCCTTGATGATGCTGACTGCCCTATGTGACATTGATTTGGCTGCTGCTCTGTTTCTCAGTCAGTAAAGCTCTTTAGGTACAGAGAGGGAACCTGGGTTGTCTCTTTGAGCTCCAGGCTCATCCTGGCCTATCATATATCAAGAGCTCAGGGAAGATATATGGAAGACCTGACAGAAGTCTGGCTGCCCTTCTTTAAAAAGCCATTGTGTTAATATGAAATCTGTGGGGTGGCAGAGTGAGGGTTCCCTTGGTGGGATGGGTTGGGCGCCAGTGGGTGATGGCAGGGTGAGGCATCCATTGAGATGGTGAGGTATCTGTAATTGACAGAAGTTGAGTGTCTGTGGGTGATGGTGGGTTCTATTGCTAAGGGGTTGGGGGTGTCAGTGGATAACAGTGGGGTACAGCATTTATGGATAATGGTGAGGTGCCCATGGTTGAAGAGGGTGGAAACATCTGTGGGTAGAGGGGTAGGTTGGGCTGGGCATGCATAAACATGAGATGCTCCTGAAAGACTACTGTCTGCTTTTTTCTGGGGCTCTGAGCCTACTTTGTCTGAGTGAGGAGTGTGGCTGCATGGCTGTGTTAAAGGATCTTGCTGACACATTTCTTGTCCCTCCAGGTTGTTCTTCGTGGGGTCCCGTGAGGGCCACCTCCCAGACCTTCTGTCCATGATCCACATTGAGCGTTTTACACCCATCCCTGCTTTACTGTTCAATGTAAGCTTAGCTGGGGGAGTGTGGGGACTGGATGTATCTGTATAGTACTCCTTCTCCTGACTTTATGAGAAGACTGTTGGGTAGGAGGTATACTAGCTTCTTGAGAACTTCTGTTTCTTCCTTTTTCTTAAAATTATTTTAAAGTACAAAAGTAAAACTCAGTCATATTAGAGAAGGCAAATGCTACAAAAGAATATAGAAATGAATTTGTAAGATTTTTGTATTTTTTATGTCAATGGCTTCTTCTTCTTCCGGCTCCTCTTTATTTTTTTTTAAATTATAAAATCATATTTAGAAAAGAAGCCAGACCAGTTGTACAACTACCCTAGGGGCCTCTATTCACATCATAGACATCATCATAGATTTATATATAATAGATGGCAGTAAAGCATTTTATTCCAACAAAATTGGTAAATTATGAAAGTATTCTGACAGATGAAAGAGTCCTGAAAAAGGACCACCATTTTCTAATTTGCAATATAAGGTATTATATATATAAAGGCTAACAGGGACCTTGAGAAAGGACTTCTCCAAGATTTGAAAAACAGTTCATTTTTCTTGTCATTAGGTCTTACATGGTTTCATTACTTAAGTTTAAATTTTGGATTCATCTGGAATTTATATTTTGGTGTATGGAATGAGATGGGGGTTCACTTAATTTTTTTCTCAAATGGCTAGCCAGCTATACCAATATCATTTGTTGAATAATCCATTTTTCCACAGTTTTCAAATTCTTATCATATAAAAAAATACTAATTTTTTAGGATACTTCATATGTGCCAAGTATAATGATATACCCCTTAAATGTATCATCGTCTCAACTAATGCTCCCCATCAGCACCAAACTCCATTATTTAGCTTTATATTGAATATCTGAATAAAACGAGGATACTTTAGGTTTTATTTCCCCTCTGGAATTTTCTTGGCAATTTTCGTGTTCATTTGTCTTGATGAACTTTAGTATCGTTTTGTCAAAATAACAAAAACCCTCTCAATATTTTGATTGGGATAGCATTGAATTTATAAATTTATGGGAGATTTGACATCATGTCTTTTATTTATTTATTTATTTTTATTTTTTATTTATTTATTTATTTTTAGCTTAGCCATCCTGCTACCTATTGGCAGCTCAGCGGCTGCTCAGCTCGGGCTGGACTCGAACCGCTGTTGCTCAGAGCTCAAACTCTTGAGCGAGCTCTTAACCAACTGAGCCACTCGGCCGGCCCTAATATCTTGTCTTTTAAATTAATCACCTTCCACCCCACTTTTCTCCTCTCAATACAGGGTCCCACTTCTCTCCCCCAAATGGGCTCTTTTTGTTTTAAATCATTTGTTGATAATCTGGGGTGAAAAGACAGAGGGAACTCCATATTCTTTTTTCTTTTTTTTTTAAGTTGCAGAAAAGTTTATTAGAAGTAAAAATATATTTCAAAAAAGCAGAAGTGGGCCCGAGCAGTAGAGAATGGCTTGAGGGCCATTATTAGAAAAGAAAGTACACTCCAGAGTTTGGAGCGGGCCGAGCAAAGGAAGCTCAAAAAGCTCGGAACTCCGTATTCTTGAAGTTTAAGTAAATCTGACCTTGTCCCAGGACTCCGACTCCTGTCTTCCAGGGCTCTTGTGTTCCAGAGGGCAAATTCTGTCGTACCTGTCTCCCCAGGGGTATGGATCCATTTTGCTAATCTACATTTCTAAGGCACCATGACAAGTGAAATGGTTCTGGAGGATTTTGCCCATTTGTATACCAGGTAGTTGGGACCCATGTGTAAAGGTCTGAGGGCATGGTGTTATTCATGTTGAGACTGGTGCATTGAAGTGAGGAGGGCCTCACGGTCTGCCATCAGAAGGGGAGAGGAGTCTGGCTTGTTACTGAAGTGCTTGCAAAAAGAAGGGAGGCACTGAGTGGAGGAAGGGCCCCCAACAGAAGAGGGAGAGATGCCACCTTGAACATTAAGGTGGAGAATGGACCTTTCTGATACCAAGGGGTGACTGACTGAAGAGAACCAGAGGTGATCCGGTGAAGCTAAGTCAGCAGTCAGCAGATCTGGTGCTGATTGCTGGATGGTGGAGTCTCCTAGGGTCCCTGGTGGTGACATTGTTCACTTCTGCTTCCTCCTTCCCCCTCCAGTGCACCATGGCACTCATCTACCTCACTGTGGAGGATGTTTTCCTGCTCATCAACTACTTCAGCTTCAGCTACTGGTTCTTCGTGGGCTTGTCTGTTGCTGGACAGCTCTACCTTCGCTGGAAGGAGCCTAAGCGGCCACGGCCTCTCAAGGTCAGTGGCTCTGGGCAGACTAGGAAGGGTGGGCCATCCCCTCAAGGTGCCTTCTTCCCCATATGCTGTTTCCCCATCTACTTTACCTAATATCTCACCTCCCTCCATTTCAGCTGAGCCTGGTTTTTCCCATCGTGTTCTGCATATGCTCCTTGTTTTTGGTGATTGTGCCCCTCTTCGGTGACACCATCAATTCCCTCATTGGCATTGGGATTGCCCTTTCTGGGGTCCCCATCTACTTCCTGGGTGTTTATTTGCCAGAGTCCCGGAGGCCACCCTTTGTTCGGAATGTTCTTGGTGAGCTTCTCTTTGCCCATCACTCATTGGCTGTGTGTATGTGTGTGTGTGTTTGTGTGTGTGTGTGATGTAGAGGTGGGCGTGGTGGCTAACAGCTTCCCCCATACTAGTGATATGCTGGAGGCCATTAGACCTGGCTGCCCCACATGACTTCTTCCCTTTTGATCTTGACATGATCACTTTAGTTCTATCTTCAGAGTCCTATTTTGGGGTTAAAATACTATCTCTTGAAAGTGCAATCCACATGGGAAGGAGTCATGCATCAGACTGTCTGGTTGAGCATGGGACTGGGGACACTGAGGTTTGTTGGGGGTGAGGGGCAAAGCCTGGCACAGGGTATCCAAGGGAGGGAGCCACAGATGTACTTTAATCAGCCTTGTGGTGTTTAGGTTGGGGCTGTAGCTGAATGTCAGGTTGCTAAATTCTCTTCTCTGTTTTCATGTAGCTGCTATCACCAAAGTCACCCAGCAGATTTGCTTTTGTGTCCTGACTGAACTAGATGTAGCTGAAGAGAGAAATGTTGAGAGAAAAACTGACTAGAGGCCAGAGGTGAAGTCTCCTGAGGCCTGGAAGTCTACCTGTGGCCACAGCCACCGAAGTCCAGCTGACAAGACTGTATGGGCCCAACCCTGTTCTAAAGGAGCCTCTTGGCCCACATTGTGTAAGGGGGTTCAGGGCTGATGGCCTGCTCAGGTGGTCACTCTCATTGGTAAGCTATGGGAGGAGACTCAGGGTCCCAGGCTAGCCTGAAGGTGGGGACATCAGAGGGTGGTGGTGGTGGGAGCTTGGGGGACAGGGGGAATGGTTATTGTTGTTCCTGGTGGATGGGTACAGTCCTTACACTTTCTTGGTGAGTTGCACTGGGGAATAGGAAGTGCTAGCTAGGTTAATAGCTGTGGCTGGTGGTTTCTGAATTTCTGATATTTGAGGTTTGAATCAGGAGTCTCTATGAAGGAGCTCTTTATGGGAAGTTTTCCTCTGACCAGGTCCAAGCACCTGACTTTAGAGACCTGAAATGCTGCCATTTCTTCTCTGGTTCAAAATCCTTCCCTGAGGAAAGGGTTGTAGTCCATTACTTATTGATATTATTTAATCAAGAACACCAATTCTAGCAAAGCATTGAAGTTCATTCATCTACAGGATGCAATTGGCTGTTTAAAAAATTCAAAGTACCCAAAGCTGAGTCCCTCTGTCAGAGGTGTCTCTGTGGCGATGGGTCAGACTCCAACCAGATTTTTTGCTTGGTTTTAACCCAATCTTCTGTTAAGTCTTACATCCAAAGATGAACTTGAAAGATTTTTTTACTTGTGTAAGTTACACTTTAGGACAAATGAACAAATTTATGAGTCGTAAGTCTGGCAATACTGCTATTTTGAAAGATAATCCTTTATTTTACTTGAGACCTTAGGTCTTTGTTCTGGTTGGTAGAAAGTAAATCTCTGGGTTTCTAGTATGAACTTTAAGAGGATAGAAACTTCTCAAGTATGGGTGGATCACTTGAATTCTTTTAGCTGGCAGAGACTCATGGACCCAAGCCACCAAATAGCTTGCTCCTCTCTATATAGGTTGGTATGAGGGACTGCTGTACAGACCCACGTGAGCCCACCTTGGTGCTAGAAGCGGTTAATTTCTTTTTCTGAAAACCTCACATCAGGCTGCACCCTCCTCGCTACCCAACACCAGGCTTTGTTTACACTGAGCCGCCTTGGTGTGGATTATCGGAATGTGCACTCCTCTCCTGCCTGCCTCCTCATCTGAGGTCTAGTGGGGCTGTATTCTCAGGAAGAGCTTGGTACTTGTGGGGACTTCGCTTTTCTCCCTGTGATCAGTGAAGACTCTTGGGAAAAAGCTGTTTCAGCCTCACTGTGACTCCTCAGCAGACTGCATGATTGAACAACTCATTCTGGTGCTCAGGCTGCTCTTTAGCACCAGGTCAGTCCAGAGCAGTAGGTTTGGCCTAATGGATGTTCCTTCACAGGCAGCATGGCTGCACTGGATTATACAGCTGCCCTAGGATGCCCTGAGACCCTGTCATTCTGGGCTCAGAAGAACCTGCTGGCTTGGTTCGCTCAGTGGTCTTCTTGTCCTTTGATGTTGGAGTTGATCAATGGTAGACAGTCTCCCTTTATGACCATTTTTCTCCACCAAATTGGCCCCGTCTCAGACAAGGGAGTAACCTTGGTCATACTTGCTCAATAAAGACAATTCAGGGGAACATGCTCATTTGTTTTGGGTTCAGGGCATGCATCTGTGAGAACATGGGGGGACATCCTTAACTATCACGGGCTAAAAATTTACATAGCAAATTCCAGCCTGGCAACAGGGAGTCTTGTGCAGAGGTTGACTTGCCTAGACTATGTAAACATGACTCCTGTCTGAGCCAAGCCGGCACCTGTCCCAGGGACCCTGGAGCTAATGCTTTAAGCAGAATGCACTTGCTTGAGGATCCCTGAGCCAGGCTTTAGCTTTCTTCACTCAAGTAAATGACCATCTAATCCCAGGAACTTGCTCTTCCCCAGTGGCTCCTGGGGGAAGCAAGGGCCTCACACCCCAGGTACCCTAATACTTGCTTAATGAGCCATGTCATCCTCCTCTCATGACTGAATGGTGACTGCATTTCCCCCTCTGTGTTGGATACAGATGATTCCCAGGAACGCTTCTGTGGGAGGGAAGCCAGAGACTCCCTACAGCACTCAAGCTTTGTTGTGGAATTAATTTCCGAGGTTTTTTTTTTTTTAATTGGGGACTTGAGGGAGGAGAACAGTGCTGGGGAATCGGAGGAAAGGGGACAGACAAGTTACTGTCATTTTGTTCTTCAGTCTAGTTGTGGAGGATGTTGCTTCACTGGCCCGTGTTGGTATTATCACTGCGCTCTTCCCGGGTGAGGCAGATCAGTTGCCGGCCTCTGAACGGCCGCTCATGGCGGCTCTTGGCAGCTCACACTGGCTGCCAGCCGCTCACGCTAGCTGCTGGCCGCTGGCCACACATGGTAGCTTATGGCAGCCCACTGCAGCAGGGGCTGCAGCCTACGCCGTCGCCTCATGGCAGCCCAGCTCCAGGTTGAGCTGTGTTCACCATCTTAGTTGTAGAGGGCGCAGTGTCACTGGCCCTCATGTGGGATCCGAATTGGGGCCCTGCTACTCAGAGCTGGCGTCCCAAGCCAGCCCTTAACAAACGCGCCACTTGGCCGGCTCAGTTTCTGAGGTTTTTTTTGTCTCCCTCAATCCTACTCTTAATGTGCTAATCCCTTTTATAGTGGGTTGTAGTGACAACTTTTGTGAAGTTGTCAGCCCTTTAATGTTGGCAAACCTTAAGAGTACATAAACAACAGTGAGTGCATTATAATGGTACAGAGTGGTTTTAATCCTTTGTTTCTATGCCTACAGAAGACTGAGATGACTAGTATTGGACATTTAAGTGCTGCCTGTTACTTGCAAAGCTGAATTATACATTTGTGGATCATTAGGATGGGAAACCAAATCTGTTGGTTTTATAACCACAATAGTAGAGCCTGAGTAAATGTACACATAGAATTTAATCATTTTGTCAGGTTTACTCCATGTAGACAGGAATTAATGTAGGTAAAGACTTAACAGAATGAACATTCAGTGAAAGAAAGAGTGAAGGCAGGATGGAAAGTCGAGATGCTTATGAAATCTTAAAAGAAGTGGAAAGAAGACATATCTCTGTGTAAATCACCTTTTCACATGATAGTGAGTCTGTGCCACTGGGCAAGAAGGCACATCTTGAATAGAAGGTTCTGTGTATTATTTCCCTAGACCTGTTTTGTCCATTACAGTAGCAACTAGCCACGTGTAACTAGTTAAGTTAAAATTAAATTAAAAATTCAATTCCTCAGTTGCACTAATCACATTTCAAGTCCTCAGCCATATGTGGCTAGTGGCTACTATTGCACAGTACAGATATAGAACATACTCATCTTTGCAGAAAATTCTACTGGACAGTGTTACAAGAAAAGCATAAATGCCAATCCAGTCAGTTAAGGCATCTGTGGTTTAGAAAGGGGCAGGGACAGAGTTTGCTTATGAGATACAAATTCTGATAACAAAATCAGTCCTGTTGGTAATAGTTTTTATTGATAGTTTTTGGTGAGTGCTGTGAATAAACATTCCTCACTTGCCTTAAGTCCTTAGTGTTTTAGGTCCATTCTGAAACTTCTGTCTCACCAACCCCCCATTTTTGGTGGGAGATGGGGAGGAGAAAGCGAAAGAGGGAGCACAGTGGGAAAAACACGTAATAGATTCAGATTTAAAAAGTTTTAAAGGAATGACTTGCTCCCATATTTAAAGTTAGTTTTCACTAAACACAGAGTATCACATTCACAGATACCCTGTTCCTTGGCACATGCCAAAGGAAGACAGCAATCTTTACAACCATTATCAGAGTCAGGAAGCAGGGAGGGAGAGACAGCTGTTAATTGAAACTCCTCACAACTCAGGCAGATTCCACTTCCTTCCCTAATGGCCATTCCTGTCCAGTCTGTGCTGCTACAAGGGAACCACACCACTGTAGCCCTTCTAGATTCCCTCTATCAAAAGAAACAGGCTTTTACTAGAGGCAGGTGGCCTGGTGGTAGGGGAAAGCTGAATCTTAGTGCTGATAAAACAGGAGCCTCTCCTCCACTTACTGGCTTCAGTATAGAATGGGAAAATGCCTGGGCCAGGAATCTCCATTTTTATGGCATTTTTTTGCCCCTCAGACTGTAGGGTCACTTTAAAATTTTTTTTTTTTTTTTTTTTTAGCTGAGCCATCCTGCCACCTGTTGGCAGCTTAGCGGCAGCTCAGCTCAGGCTGGACTCGAACCACTGTTGCTCAGAGCTCAAACCCTTGAGTGAGCTCTTAACCAACTGAGCCACTCAGCCGGCCCAAGGGTCACTTTAGATTGAGGCAAAGGGGCCCTGCTGTTAGTGGAAAAGACACACTCCTTCAGCCCAAGTTTTCATTGGTACGATGGTGCTGCTGGACATGCCTTTTCCCTCCCTGTTTTAAGCTAGGAAACCCATTACCAGGACAGCTGATGCTGCAGTCACAGAGCCCTGAAGGGCCTGTGATAGAACCTCATGGGTATCACAGGATCATCAGTCTGAATCCAGGTCATGGGGGCTGTCATAGCCAAACTCCTTCTGCACATCCAAAGGGTATTTGCTCCACACCTGTCGTTTGCTGCTGCCTCTTTCCTCTTCACTGAGGCTGCTGTATTCATCAGAGCCTAGAATGACATAATATGAATGTATTATCATATTATAGAACTTATTATAGGCACTTCCCCAATAGAATACTCCATAGTTTAATTGTTCCTCCATTAACAAACACCAAGAAATTATTTTTGTTGGCACTTAGAACCTCTCCAATACTCTTAAGACTGAAGCAGGGAAAGGGACACTGAGCTAGATGTTTCGAACCCACACCTGACTGACATTACACCTCTAGTAGCTCCCCTGGAAACACTGGTCCATGGGTCTCTTACAGCTCCAACAGCTTGTGGTTGAGCTGTTGAAGCTCAATGGCAGAGGAAGAGAGCCAGTTAAGATGGACCTGTCAACTGTGCTTATGCCTCAGTCTTGGATTCCACCAGTACTTCCCCATCCAAGGCTGCCATCTACCCACCTCTGGAATCTTCATCTCCATCACTGCTCTCCTCCTCTGGGTACTCATTGCGCCAATTACTCTCACAGTTCTCGTCATCTTCATCTTCATAAATGTCCTCTGTTTGCTGGTCATCATTCACCTGCACATCTCAACACAAACATGAGTATAAGTCAGAACATCTAAGGTTATGGTCTGGGGGAAGACCACCTTGGAGGTGTCATTTAAGGTGCCATGTGAAAAAGAGGCAGCCTGGTGGTTAGACTCTGCTGCATAAGAGACTACACTTAGGATACAAGAGGGAGATACTGGACTCACAAGTCCAGCTCTGGGTGCCACATTCCTGATGGGATAGACAGCTATACCAGAAGGGACCACACCAGGGTGGGAAGGAAAGACAGCTCTGATGGCAGTGACCTTCAAACTCTCAAAGGGCAGCCAGGTGGGAGAGGGATTATACAGATTATGGGTGATGCCAAAATCAGAACCCAAATCCAGTTGTGAGGGGTACAGGTAAGGCAGGAGGAGATGCTATGCAATGGTCCAAGGTGGGTGCCTAGGATTATGGTTGTAGCGCAGGTGTGGAGTAAGATGCTTATCTCATAAGAATATGAGAGGTACCACCTTAACTCTCATGAATCATTTTAGAATTTAAGAATAATGTCAGGAAGTTAGCTTTCTTAATCCAAGGTTTTCTCTTATAAGATACAATTTTAAAAGGTTTAGTTTTCATTCATGTTAATTTCAGGGTTTATATCTTTATTTTGTTATAAGCCCCATTAATATTTATCCCCCCCAAGAGCGGGTAAATATAAATAACAAAGATGATGCTGTAAATCTTGTAAAGGATTCATTAAGAGCAAAAGTTATCAATCTAAACCCTCTTTTCCAGAATTCCCTGCACTAAACCCAGGTTCCTAGAAGGGATATAGAATAAATGCTTCCTTTTAAGAAGGACAAGAAGAACTAAGAACAATGTTAATATCAGGAATGGAACCCAGGGAGGCAAAGTACCCTGACTAGAGTCAGTTAGGCTCCCTCATGCCTCTCATCCTCGTGGGTCCCCTTACCAGCTCCCACTCCTGGCTGTAAGGCTGCACAGAGAGGATGTTCTCAATCCATCCTGGAGTGGCCATCTCCAAGTAGTAAATGTCATACACATAGTCATCCTTCTGTTCCTCTCGGTGCTCTGCTCTTGGTCCATCCTCAGATATAGTCAACCGCTCACGGATCAACTCTACAGAATTGCAGAGGATCACATCTGGGTCAGATGCCTATAAAGAAAACAGCAGATGATAACATGCATGAGGTAAAACATGGATGTTCCAAGAGAAGGAACCTTAGAGTTGGGTGAAGGAAGCCTCCCTACAGTTTTCTATGTTTGAGTCAATATTCTTATCCCTATGGCCTACTAGTCTCAATTAGCTATAAGATTAGAGGGGAAAAAAGTATCTCTATTAAAAAAGTAATGTATGGTTCTTCTTTTAAGATAGAAAAAGATAGCCTCCTACTCTGTGCTTGGCTGATGCAAGAGCACATGTGAAGATTGGCCTGAGGAGAGGGAGAGCCAGCAGAGCTGATGAGTCTTCCCCTAGGTCCTCCTGAGCTCCTCTGGTATGATGTTCTCCCCATAGGGATCTGTACTTTGTGTGGCCTCCTCTAGGGGCCTAAGGCTGATTCCTGGGCTCTGATAACTACTGCCAGCCATCACCCACCACATGCTTGCACACACTGACATCCTGCTTTTAATCACAAACCAGAAGTAGATTCCCCTGTAGCTAGTTTCCTGCTAGAAAGAATAGCTCAAGATGGACTGCCCCAGAATGGAACTGGTCAATGTAAGATGTACTCCAGGGGCAATACAGTGTGTTATCCCGGGTAGCATAGGTCCATTTGGAAACCAAGGGGACTTGCTGCAAATGACCCTTCTCAACAGGTACATCACAGGAGGCTGTGCAGCTCAAACCAGACACCATTATGGGGAAGTGTGGTCATCCCATGGCCAAGACAGACAAGGGGAGACCAATGCGCTCTATCACAGGCTAAAGGGAATTAATTCTTTGCTCCAAAGTCAAAAGGAACTAGACATGTCAGTTTTTGTGCAGCCTCTTGACCAACCTCAAAGCTGTTTACAAGGAAAGTTCTGGCTCCAACGCAAGTCCCCAGCCCTCAGTCCAACAAATTATGCAGCCATATTTTTTTGCTGTAGTTTTTCAAATTTCCCATAGTTTTCATAAAAGAGAAATTATATTTAAATCTAGTCAATGTGTATGCTTACCCATATTTTCAATTATATTACATTTTCTACCGTTAAACATATATAAGTACTTTCTCATCTTGCCAGTCTTCATGGTTATTGATTTAAAGGTCCAGGCAGTTGTATACTCAATTCCTCAGACATAATTTTTAGCTTCCATATACAATGTTGCAGTGAATGTGTAGTTTCCTGCATTTGAAAAATGAAGCTAAAAGTACCTACCTCCTAGGGTTTTTGTGATGATTAAACGAATTTAATTAAAAGAAAATATAACAAATACGTAGCACAATACTTAATGCATGGTAATTGCTTAGTAAACCAATAGTAGCTTTTATTAATACCACAACTATTTGCTGAATTATTTCCTTAGAATAAATCCCGGGGGTGAGATTACTAGATAAAATGAACCGAACCTTTTCACTTTTTCAGGTTTCCTGTTAAGTAGTACTTTATTTGCTTAAAACATAAATGGTATCAATTTAAAGAAAACCCCACCCTAATGTGGCACAGAAATACTATCACTAATTTTTAAATTTCTTTAGCTTTTTGGATGGCTTTAGAATCCAAACAATAAAAATAAAGTTTTAAAACAGGCCCCAAGCTATTTTTAGCATTCCTGACATGTAAAGCCACGCTGTTTTCCAAGACTTGCATCAATTTTAAGCACGACAGTCACTTACCATTTTAATCCCAGCCTTGCCAGCAGTGCTATCAACACCCTTACCCCTGCTAGTGTTAGTAGGCATAAAACTTCAAGTTTGTTTTCAGCTTAAATTCATGTTTTTAAACTGTGTAAACATTTTTGATATTTATAATTTGTATTATGTTGGGAAAATCTGTGTTCACATCCTTAGTTTATCTACTAGTTTTTCTTATAAAATTGAGCTATTTAATTGATTCAATTCCACTGAACATTGGTTTATTTTAAGAAATTATTTGATTGGTAACTCATGAATCAGTCTGGAATTAGTTTTGGTAAAAGATGTGGCTATAGACATCATACCCAAATTGTTATCCAGGTATACTAGCATCATGATTAAATATGTTTTGCCTGATGTATTTTGAATTAAAATTTCATTTTTTAAACTTAAAAAACCATTATAAAGAGTGAAAAATATTTTAATGTTTCTCAAAAGGGGGCATGCCTTAGGCTGAGAATTTTCTACTTCTATGATCTTACTGCATGCAGACTTTGTTTTTTGGAAGTGAGGTACAAAACAAACTTATTAAATGTAATGTAGTGGGAAGAACACTAGATTAAGTGTGCATTCTAGACCTAAATCTGCCTCAAACTTGATATGCTACCCAGGACTATGCCTTTAACCTCCCTTTAATGAGTTTTACCATCTGCTCTATCTTTACCTTGCTCAAAGTCCTCCAGTAATTCCCCGTTTCAGGATGAAAAGGCAATGTGTCCTTAGTAGTACCTACAGGGTCTAGCAGACATCCTTCCCCAAAATTCCCTGTTACTATTGTCCTCCATTTCACTGCGCTCCAGGCACAGTGACCTTGTAAAACACCAGACAAACAGCTTCAGAGCCTTTGTGCTTGCAGGTTACCTCTCAGACTGGAATGCCTGTCTCCAAGATACCCACAATGCCCTGCCATTCACCTATATAAGGTCTACATTTATTTTTTCAGGGAGACCTCTGAAATGGAAGCACTCTTTTCCTGCTTTGCTTCCCCCCCCCCTTAGCCCATATCACCATCTGACACTGAATTTACTTATTGTTTACCTCCTAAACTTAAACTTTAGGTCCTCACTGCTATATCCACAGAACTTAAGAACAATGCCTGGCACACAGTGGGCGCTCAGTAAATACTTGTTGAATGGATAACCTAATCTGTAAAAATGACGCTATCAAGCAGGCTGGATCATCCATTAATAAAAGGTGAAGCCATGTGCATCTTCTTAATTGTGTGCTGACTTTGGGCCCACACTCCTATCTGTCCGGAGAAGCGCAGCTCTCCTCCGGGCATGTACTCACTTTGCTGGAGCCAGCGGCAGAGGACTCGGGGTCTCCTTCTTCGTGAACCAGGTCGAACAGCTGGAAGTCTGCGTCGCTGTCGGCTTCTGAGTTTCCCTGCGCGTCATCGGACTCCAGGCCACCCGAGGGAATCCCCGAGGATCGGCGGCTGGAGACAACCCTGTAGCGGCCCTCCTGCCGGATCTCCCGAGCCGACACACGGAGGTCGCGGCGTATACGCTGCTGGCTGGCCCGGGATGGGCGCAAGGCGGCCCGCACGAGCGGCTGGACTGGCTCCTCCTGGAAGGCAGTAGGGGAAGGATGCTGGCGTAAGCGAGGGTTCGTGTGAGGTCAGGGATACAGTTTCTCCCCGGCCGCGCCCTAAGATCCCCTCCACACCCACTCCTTTCTCGCCCAATACCTGGGAGCGCACGGTAGCCACCAACTGGAAGACATTATTCTCTGCTGCTCTCTTCAGACCCTCAGGGGGCGTCTTTTGGGCCGCCGACTCAACTGCGTCGTTTCGGAGGCGTTTACAAGCGAGAACAAGAGCTTCGGCAGGCTCTGCGCTGCGCTTCCGCTTCACGCGGAGGACAGCTGCCCTACCAGCCTCCATAGTAGATGTCGCGGAGCACTGTGGGGAACGCGTAGGGTGCCATGGGAGAGCCTTTAAGTTCCGCTTCCGGGCCCCGCCTCCAGCACGCTCAGCCGGCGCAGGAACGTCCGGCCCTTTCACGTCAGCCGCGGCAATTTGGCGGTGGCGGCAGAAGTGAACCGAGCGGTTCCCGCGGCTGGTGAGGCGCTGGGCGGGTTGGGAAGGTGGGGTCGCGGTTGGAGTCTCAGGTGCAGCCAGCTTCCTGTCAGCCCCAGGGCTCTGGCAGCGTGGCCTGGCGTGGGTGTACTCGGGCGCCGGGGTACGCATCTCTTCGGGACTCTCCACTACCTTTTTGGAATACACTGGGGGCGGCTCGGAGCGCCTGGGCCGGCGGGAGAGCGGGGTTCCAGGCGGGCCCCGGCTCTGCCGTCCTTTGGGGTGGTTGCCGATTGCTGGGCCGGTGGTGAAACATCCCCGAGTTTAGGTGGGTCATAGGACGTACCTGGAGCCTCCCCTCAGCTACAGAGACCTACACCGCAGTCATAAGGAGCTCCAAATATCGCACCCCTAACTGAGCCACGGTTTTCTGATTCTGGGAGCTGCTGATGGGCTCGCCTTTCCCAGTCTCTGTGTTCTTAATACGTAGTTGGAAACCAGTTTATTCATCACACACTAGCCAGAGCTGCCCTGTAAAAGCTTACACCTGACGTGGAGATTCTTCTGTTTAAAACACTTCAGTGGCTCCCAGTGCGTTTAGAACAAAATCCAAACTCCTTCCCAAAGCTGAAATGGCCCAGTGTGATTTGCAGTAGCCGACCCTTAATCTGTCATTTCTTTTGTTCAAACTGCTTCAGTCTCACTCAGGTTTTAGTCTGTTTTGCTTATGCAGCTAGTTCTTTCTTTTTCTTGGAATAGCTGGGGTAAGGATTACTGAAATATAAGTATTACTCTTCCCTAACCATTAACCTGACTTATCTTGCAGGTCTCAACTTAAATGCCACCTTCCTCAGAGAGTCTTTCATTAACCATGTCATTCTCTTTCATAGGCATCTTAACGTATTTCCTTTCCTGCGCTATAGGCTGTAATGGTTTATATTTGGACTCTTCCACCATTAGAGACTAATATGTAGGAGCCCATGGACCTCCTCTATATTGTGTATGGTTGTCCTCCAGTCTCTAACACAGTACCTGGCATATGGCAGGTACTTAGTAAATTTTGAATGAATGAACCAAATATCTGCCTTGTAATCTGACTAGTAATGCACTTAGAGCTTGGCATAGTGGTTTCCATTCTGGAGACCAAGTTCACAGCTCTTGGAAATGAGGAAAGGGTCAGAATATCTCCAGAATCTGGAGTGTGGGCTCCTTCTGGGAGAAGACAGGTCCTAATAATAGATGAAGGGATTTGGCCATAGAACCTGTAGTGCTCACCAAGGGAGGTTACAGGACATGGTTCCCATCCTCAAGCATTCATTTAGATTTATAGGAAATCAGTGACTTTTCTGAAAAATTCTGAAAAGTCAGCGATCCTAGTTATAGCCTCAGCAACATCACAGGCAAAAGAAATTCCACAGATGAAGGTTCTTTACTGAACTCTTAACCTTTAAATGACTTCAGAATTGATTCCACATGTCACAAGATAAGCGTTTCTGAACCCTCCACGATATGGACCCTACCAACATGCTTGACTTTTTCAGTCTCCCTTCATCTAAACTGATTTATTCACTGTGCATGACTGTCTAAACCTGTCTAATCTGATGAAGTGCCCTCTCCCCACGCCTACCTAAATCCTACCCATTTTTTAGGCCTTCTCTGAACATTCAGCAAGATGTGGTCATTTCTTTCTACTACAGCATTTGTGAGACAGTTTTCTAAAGCACATTATAGATTCTGGTAGTTCTAGATACTCTGTTTTTAGAAGAAATATTAGCATATGAGATGTACAGAGCTGATTCTAGTAATGCTTTTCAAACTATTGGGTCGTCGGGAAAGTCATGATGTATTTTTCTGTGTTTTTCAATGCAAAAATACGTCATGACTTTCCCGACGACAAAATAGGTTGCAACCCATTAGTGAGTTATAACGTCAATTTAGTGGGTCATGATCAGCAATTAAGAAATAAAATTGAAACAGGATAAAATATATCAGAGGGCCTTGTCCATAGGAATGCTAAATAAGTATTGTTTTGTGAAACTTTATCAATTATGTGCGTGTGTGTGTGTGTATTGCGTCTCTGTGTAAAGTATATTTCTTACTGGGGCTGCCAGAAAGTTTGAGAGCCACTAGATTAGAGGATAGATATGCTGGGATTTTAGAAGTAGTGTTTTACCGAAAGACAAATTGACTGCTTTGGACAAGGCCAGGGACTGCCTGAGTCTTTTCAGAAAAGATTGTTTCCCATCCTGTTATATAAGAATTCATTGTTTACTTAGCCTAGATAATTTCAAAAGAAAGTCAATAACTCCGGCCAGTAAAATGCTTCAGGAATGTTTAAGGCACAAAAAGTAAGCAGGCTTCCTAAAGATGGATCAGTGTTTAACAAGAAATGAAGAGGAGTTGGGACACTTGCTCCTTTCTCAATGGTAAGAGGGAAGGCATTGGGAGAGCCCATACCTGTTGAGATGTGCCTTCAAACTTTGAGATATGGTGTTCCTCTGTCTCTCAGAAATAGATTTCTTTGTGAGGAAAGCCCATACGAGACATTTTATCTATCTGGTGAAGCAAATTTTTTTAGATGAAGAAAGGTTTAAAAAACTTGCTTTTAAAATCAAATATTGAGTAGATAAGAAGTCATAAAAATAGTGAGGCATAAAGAATGACAATATCATAAACACTGTATTCCCACCACCCAGTTTTAGAAAAAGAACAATATTACTTTTAAAGTCCCCTGCATGGTCCTGCTTAATCCCATCCTTTTCCCTTCCCTCTTAGAGGTAACCACTATCCTTATTCCCTGCTATGCTTTTTAGTATGATCTATAAAGACTATGTTCTGCTTTGTATAATTATAAATTTTATATAAATGTAATCTTATAGGTATTCTGTGATTTACCTTTTTTTGGCTCAAAGATATAGATCTGAGATTATCCATGTTTAGTGTAGCTATGACTTATTTGTTTAGATGAAGACTTTCCTAATTTGTATTGCTTTATCTTTGTATTTTTCCTTAAAGTAAGTGTTTATTATCCTGAGGCACTATTAGTTTACCACCATCCCAATTTCTCTTTGTTCTCCTTTCCTACTAACTCTTTCCTCTGCTTTAGTGTATTTCCCCATGTATAAGACGCACCTTAATTTTGGGGCCCAAAATTTGAAAGAAAATGTATTACATAAAGTTATTGAAACTATGCTACATTTACACAATGGAGTATTACTCAGCTATAAAGAAGAAGGAAATAGTACCATTTGCAACAATATGGATGGAACTAGAGAACATCATGCTAAGTGAAATCTCAGTCAGAGAAAGACATGCCATATGATCTCACTTATACGTGGATTCTAAAAAAGTGAATAAATGAGAATTGTAAACAGAAATAGTCTCAGAGACACAGAGGAAAAAAAAACTGAGGGTTGCTAGTTGGGAGGGGGTGGGGATGAAGGAGAAGGGGAAGGGATGAAACAATACAAATTGGTAACTACAATATGGCCTCAGGGATAGACAAGACAGTCTAGGGAATATAATCAGTAATGTTGTAAATATTTTTTAGGGGGCCAGATGGACTCATGTCTTGTTAGGTCTACATGAAGTCTACACTGACTTCATAGTCGGTGTAGAGGCCTGACCACCACACTGTATATCTGAAACTGATGTTGAATAATAATGTGTGTCAACTATAATTATATATACATACAGTCATGGGACGTGGAGTAGAGAGTGGGAATGGAGTCAATGGAATTGTAATAGATAAGCATGATACCGGGGGGTGGGAAGGGCAGTAGATGGGGGGAGGTGGGTTGTTATTTTGTGAGGGGTGAAAAGGATAACTATTGCATTATTCTGTACACCTGAAACTAACAGTAAAATTTTTAAAAAAATTATTGAACTCAAGTTTTATTCACCATAAAATTCATACAACTCATCACTGTCAAAACTCCCAACCATTAGTTTCTCCTCATCTGTGTCTGATAACGAATCACTGTCTTCATATATTGCCTTGTCCTCAGTTCCATCTATGGCATTTGAAATCTACAACCACTGTATAAGATGCACCCAGTTTTTAGACCCCAAATTTTCCCCGAAAAGGTGCGTCTTATACATGGGGAAATACGGCATTTTCTTTCTCACCTGTCCTTACCTGAGGCTGTACCCTGGTGCCCCTGTGAAGCTCATTTGACCCTGTTGGAATCACTGAGGGCTGCTGAAGTTTCCAGATAGCTTTATGAACTTACGTATGATTGTTTTTGATGTTATATGAGGACTATAAAATCAAATAACTCTTGCTAGAAAGATTAAAATACTGATTAACCAACTATTTTCAGTGGCTTCGACATTTTTGTTAAATTTGTTTTCTTGTCTTTTAATATTTTTTCCTTTACATTCTTGGGCATTATGATGTGAATAGATTTCAGACCTGTCCACAAGAAGTGAGCTGGCAAGGCTGCTTTTCACCACTAAAACTAATGAGCTGATTGGCACCATGAAGGTCTTCTGTGGACGGGCCAATCCCGTCACAGGATCTGTGGAGTGGCTGGAGGAGGATGAGCACTATGATTACCATCAGGAGATTGCCAGGTAACAAGGGTTTGCTCACAGTCGTCTGAAAGGGGTGGGGCACTTGATCCAACAGTTGATGGTTTGGAATCCAATCTGAGTGTGAAATAGGCCATCACCCAGTGCTTGTGATCAGGGCAGGTGTTGGTCACAAGCAAATGTGCTCAGCTAGGTAGCGTGTGGAGTTAGGCTGAGTCATGCCTATGTGGGGAGCCAGACATCCTGTAGCAGCCTTACCAGAGGATCTGTCTAGTGGAGCAAAGAGGACCCAAGGTTTGGTAGTAGAGTTTATGAAACTTAATCATTTACTTATATCACTGAAATGGTGACACACTCCTCATATGGTTAAATTCTCTTGAAAAAATGAAAAATGCATTTTGCCTTGGGTTTTTTTTTTTTCTTTAAAGGGATGTTTAAAAGTATGTGAGTTACTGTTATTTAGCAATCATTAAATGCATGCAGCATGCCAGCACTGTGCTTGGGCTGTGAATACCAAAATGAAAAAGATAAAGTTCCCATCCTTAAGGAACAGGCAGCATTATGGAAAAAACAGACATATAAAAAATTATAGGGCTGGCCGAGTGGCTTGTTGGTTAGGAGTTGGCTTGGGAGTGTGAGCTCTGAGCAGCAAGGCTGCCAGTTCGGATCCCACATGGACCAGTGATGCTGCGCCCTCTACAGCTAAGATGGTGAACAACAGCTTGACCTGGAGCTGGACTGCCGTGAGTTGCCTCCATCGGCATAGGCTGCAGTGGGCTGCCATAAGCTACCGTGAGTGGCTGGCAGTCAGCGTGAGCGGCGGCAGCCGGCGTGAGCTGCCGTCCAATGACTGGCGACTGATCTGCCTCAGCCGGGAAGAGTGCAATGATCACAATACCAACATGGGCCAGTGAAGTGACATCCTCCACTACTAGACTGAAGAACAAAAGGACAGCAACTTGTCTGTTCCCCTTCTCTGATTCCCCAACGCTGTTCTCCCCCCAATTCCCCAATAAAATCTTAAAAAAAAAAATTATAGTACAGTGATATAAAGGGCCAATGGAAATGGGTACAAAAGTTTATGGAAGCAGCATAGCAGCTGGGCTGAGGGGTGATATTTGAGTGATTTCCCAAATCTAAAAATGAAGGGAAATTGCTTTCTGAGCAGCTGGGATTACATGTAAACTTCCAGATGAGCTACTCTGAGGCGTGGCTGAAAGTTTGATGTGCTGGAATGTGGTACAAAAGTAGGGCTGTGGTGAGAGGATGCTGAAAAGGTAGGCAGAGGTCAGGTTGTAAAGGGTAGTAGCAAAATACAGGAAGAGGAATGTGAGTATACATCCAGGCTCTGCCATTTCTTAACTCTGACATTGGCCAAACTACTTCTCTGAGCCTCCGTATAATCCTCAAAATAATATACATCTCATCATAATACCCTTATCTTAGGATTGTTTGATGATTGAACGAAATACAATGTCTGGTACAGAATAAGAGCTCAAAAATTGTCTAAAAATTTTGGACATTTTCTGAGTGATTGAGATGTTAAGCAGGAGAAAAATGATTAGGTTACATTTTGGAACATTAGGTTACATTTCTACGCTGAGAGCAGTGTAGAAAGTGGGTTGGAGGGAGCAGAGGCCCTTTAGGTAGATATTGCAGCCCCAAAGCAGAGGCAGTAGAGGTGGAGAGAGGAGGAGACAACTTGGAGGGAGCTTGAGTTTGATAACTCACTGGATGCAGTGATGGAAGGAGAAAGAAAATTCAAGAAGCACCAAACTCTGGTTAGAGTGACTAGGTGGATGGAGCTGTTGTTTCCTGAGAGGGAGAACACAGGGAGAGTTGGTGGGAAGGGGAAGGTGATTAATAGAGAGTAGGCATTTGAATATCCAGTAGAGTTGCCAGTGGGTAGGTTTGTGACTCTAGAGACAATTTGTAGTTGTTAGTGAGAATTGAAACAGGCTCTCAGAGAGGGTGTGGAATGAGAAAAGTAGAGGGCTAAAAAAGGAGTCCTGGAAGAGCTGAGGAGGCAGGAGAACAGGAGGGAATGGCCCAAGAGTGGAAAGGACCATTTCAGGAAGAGGGAGTGTCCAGCAGGGTCGGAGAAGTCCTGGATTTTAACAGTTGGAGTGAGCTGGTGGTGCTTAGGGAGAGTGATGTCAGTGGAGTGATGGGGAGTAAGTGGGTGGTGAGGCAGGGAAGATGGAGAGTGAAAAAGCCTCTTAAATGGAGGAAGCTAGAAAGGACCAGATTTCAACTGAACATTCATAGGTGGGTTCAGATGTAAAAACTTTGCTATGCCATAGTGTCGTCTCTCTTTGGGGACAAGCAGAGCATCTGCCTTTAAGTAGATATTTCCATTAGGGAGGAACACTTGAAGGATTGGTGGTGAAAATTTTTGAGGCCTTGTTTGAGCAAAGCCAAAAAAAACCCAAAAAAACCCCACCACTTTGCTATGCCATAAAAGAACCTTATTCTTTTAGTGCAGTGCTCCTCAAAGTATAGAGGATGATGGATTGTCTGTGTCACAGTCGCCTGGAGCATCAACTACAGGTCAAACACAGTTGGAGCACCAACTACAGCATCAAGTACAGGCTTCTAGACTTCCAGCCAGATATCTGGATCAGGATCTCTGTGTGTATCCTGGGAGTCGGCATTTAAAATAAGTTCTCAGGCCGGCCGAGTGGTGCGATGGTTAAGAACTCGCTTGGGATGCCAGAGGGCCCC